GGGGGGGGGGGGGTTCGCTCTTTGAAGGGTCTCGATGGGCCGAATTACCTGTTTCCACACTGTAAGGATTCTATGATCCTAAATGGGACTAGTTTAGTTTGGGAAATCTGGTCGGCATGGACAAATTGGACCGAAGAGTGTATTTCCGTTCTGTATGAATCTACATCAAACAAGCTTGCATGCAAACAATTCTTTATCATTTAACGTGCTCTCACTTGCTGGTGTTGATGTAATCTTCCAACTTCTCAATCCTCTTCTGATTCTCTTCAATCTCTCGGACCTTCTGCTTGATTTTGGCCTGTAGAGGGTGACAGAATGCCGCTCAATTCCACCATTAATCCAAGCACAGAAATCACCCCACACAAAAAAAAAGGAGGTCCGCAGTCCATTCAAATGGTCTTGTTATCGTAACAATGCTGTCGTTCATACAACAGCTTTGGCTCAGTAAGACATTTCACTGGAGAGATCCCAGGCCACATATGGTGACCACAAGCTCAGTCAAGAGCTGGTTTTTAAAAGGACAGTTGTAGGGAGTGGAGGAGGGGGGTAGGGTGTAGAAGGGCGAGACCATTCTCTGCCAGTTAGGCTGGAACAGGACCAGGCACAAGGCAAGGATCACCAGCACCCCCACCCCAAGTCTTAAAAGCGGTGGGGGCAGTTTTGAGAACCACAAAACCAAATAAAAAAGTCACCTACTATCCAGCAAGCACACTGGACTTACCACATCAGGTCTTCAACCTTGCCCACATTTGAATCTCGCTGAAAAGACAACGATGCGCTGTCGCAGTTTCTCATTTCACACTCAGTGTCAATGCAAAATTTCAAAGAATCACCGTAATTTATACCACAGGGTGGGGGCAGCACCTGGGAGCCTACTGTCCCAGGCTGCTTCCCTCTCAGCTAGTCAGGGTTGATCTGTGAGTGATTATTCCAACAATGGCAAAACACATTATTTTTCGCTGTTGCACGTGGCCTATTAGTTACCTGCTGGGTGGGTCCCTGGATAAGAGAGCCGTGCTTGCGCGCATACACACGCCTGGCCATTCAGTGGAAAGGGGGCAGAAGACGGCAAGGCCGGAGGAGATAGAAAGACGCCCCCACCCCCCACCAACGCGCGACGTATTCTGACCCTGAGGGCTTCAAACCGGCGCCGTCAAATTCACAACCCACCTCTGTCTCCACTTTCTTCCTCTCCTCCAAGTCCAGCCGGTCCTGGTCAGCCTTCTGATCCCGGTTGAACTTCTCCAGCTCCTGAGCTAGGGTGGCTGCTCGCTTGCTGGCCTCCTCCTTCAGCCGGTGGTACTTCTTCACCTGGAGAGATCCGCCCCCCAGGTGGGGTGAGGGGTGCAGAGAGACGAAAGAAAATGGAAGGAGGAGGGGAAAAAAAAAACACAGACGTCACAGCATTACACTGGCGCTCAATCAAGACCACTAACTCTTCGCTATCAAAAGCGCACCAACCTTGCTTTTTAAGAAAAATCAACCGACTATCTCCTAGTACTCACCAGTCTGGAAGGAAACAACTGATTTTTTAAAAATATTGATTTATTATTTTCACATGTACCTGGCGTCCAGTGAAAAGTTTTATTTTACGTGCAGTACAGGCAGATCATACCGTACAACGTGCGTTAGGGTAATAGAACAGAGCGAGGATTACAATGTTACGGCTGCAGAGAAGGTTCACAGAGAGCAAGGTCCAACTGTGGGGAAGAAGATGTTCTTGAATCTGTTGGTACGTGTGTTTAAGCTTTTTATCTTCTGCTTGATGGAAGAAGTTGGAAGAGAATATTACTGGGATGGGAGGATTCTTTGATGTCGGCTGCTTTTTCTCTCCATAGAAAGCATCCTGGGTGCATCACGGCTTGGCACAGCAACTGCTCTGCCCAGGATCGTAGAAAACTACAGAAAGTTGTGAACACGGCCCAGATCACCACGCAAGCCAACCACCCATCCATGGACTCCACCCACACTTCCTGTTGCCACGGAAAAGCAGCCAACATCATCAAAGAACCCTCCCACCCTGCTAATACTCTCTTCCAACTTCTTCCGTCAAGCAGAAGACACAGAAGCTTGAACAGGCATACTGACAGGTTCAAGAACAGCTTCTTCCCCACTGCTATTAGACTGCTGAATGGACGTCTCAAATTTCAAATCCAATGCTGACCTGGCTTTTGTGCACCTCTTAAGTAGCCGTAGCCTTGTATCCCTCGCTTTATTACATCACCTTATGATCTGTAGATCCTTGTATGTTATGATCTGCCCCTACTACACGCAAAACAAAAAAACTTTTCGCTGTTCATGTGGCAACAACAATAAATGAAACCAGACGAGGGAAAGCGTGAACGTTGTTGGCTGCTCCCTCAAGCGGCCAAGTTCCCAGTTGGATCGGCACAAGCAGCACACCCAACCTCCTCACCTGGTTCTCCTCAAGCTGTAGATCCCGTCCTTCGCTCTGGCTCTCCTCCTCCATGCGCTCCTCAAACTCCTGCCGGGCCTTCTCCACTGACAGCATCTCCTGATCCAACTCGTCCATGTCCGCCTTGCGCTTCTTGTACTGCTTCTGCGCGTTCTGCAGTGACTTCTTGGCGGACTCCAGCTTCTTGATCTTGTGCGACGTGTTCTCCTTGGCCTTGATGTACTGCGGTCGTTTCTGGTTCAATTCCGCGTCCTTCTCCCTGAAATCGGAAAAGAACGTCAGCACAGTCACATTTGAAAAATAGCCATCACCCAGTGGGTGGGGGTTAGGGTTAGGGTTAGAGTTCCATTTCTAAACGACTGTGCAAAGCAGCCCCATGCGTTGACACTTCCTGAAGTCAGTGCAAGTGCAATCACAGCCAGAGCGCCAGAGTGCAATCACAGCTAGAGTGCAATCAGAGCGCCAGAGCGCAATCACAGCGCAAACACAAAACAGTACAACATAGGAACGAGCTCTTCGGCACATAAAGTTGTGCTGGACATGAAGCCAAATTAAACTCATCCCTTCTGCCTGCTTTTGGTCCATATCCCTCCGTTCCTTACATATTCATGTTCTTCTCTAATTGTCCCTTAAACGCCTCCACCACTACCCCTAGCAATGCGTTCCAAACTTCTACCACTTTGTGTAAAACAACTTGCCCCTCATATCCCTCTCACCTTAAAAGTGTGCCCCTAGTGTTAGACAACTCTGGGGGAAAAAGATTCTGACCTATCTATGCATCTCATAATTTTATAGACTTCTATCGGGTCTCCCCTCAGCCACCGCCGTTTGAGAGACAACAACCCAAGTTTTTCTAGCTAACCACTTCTGTTCACGCAGGCGGTTGCTTGGAAATTATTGGACACGTGTCAAGAGGCCCGAGATTCTGAATTGTGCTACAGAATTGCAGCTTCCACCTCCTCTTGGTGAGCCATCAGGCCCCACAGAGAAACACAGTAAGCCGTGTGCCCAATTCCCCACAACACCTACTTAATTTCCTTCTCGATCTGCTGCTGCTCCCTGATCAGCTTGCCAACTTCCTTCTTCTGCACCTTCATCTCCTCCTCCACCTTGTCCATGCGTTTCTTGTCCTTCTCGATCTCCTTATTGCGGGAGGTGAGGTCTTTGCTCAACCGCTCGATCTCTGATTCGTTGTGGTAGAGCTTGAAGAGCTGCAGCTGGACCTGCGCGCGGGCCAGTTCATCCTTCAGACGCTGGTAACGTTCCGCCTGACAGGAAGGAGGAGCAAAACAGTGAACAACAAGGATCAGGTGAGGAGACCCAGTAACATTCTCACGTGCCTGCTTTAGCTGGGTGGACGCACTCTTCCGAATCTGGTCGTCACAAGTTCCACACCACACTCTACAAACACCAGCCTCATGAACCATACCCAGCATACACCACGTTGGTAACATTCCTGAGGGAGTGCTGTGCCGGAGGGTTGGCACAACGCCAGACGTTCAGCACTGAGGGGGCACGGTATTGTTGGCTGGTCAGCGCAGGGGGGCAGGCACAGTCAGAGCATCAGCTCATTCAAGCAAATCTGTGTTTGCAGTTTCTCCAGTACTTCTACATCCTTTTTAGTCTTTTGGTGACCAAACATCTACATGGTATTCCAAGTATGACTTAACCCAAACAACGTACAGCAAACTTCGTTTTAACCAACACCTTATGAACTGGCACACTGAATAAACTGGCAAAAATTATGTACCTCAAACACCGGACATTTTTTGCATTATTGTGATTAGCTGAGGGCATAGAACATAGAACATTACAACGCAGTACAGGCCCTTTGGCCCTCGATGTTGCGCCGACCTGTGAAACCAATCTGAAGCCCATCT